GATTATATTATCATCATGGCGGATTTATGAAATACCCCAAAATTTGTCATCATGTCAAATTAAATAAATATTTGACAGCATTTTAGTCACTAAATTTCTATTTAAGTCACAAATTTATTAGAAAAATGGGCTCTAAAAAAATTTTTTTTTGTACCCCAAATCTTGCGTCTAATCAATTTTTCCAGTATTAAAGGCGCGTCATTATTTAACATTTTTTAGGAAAAAAGCTGTATGAAGTCAATTTAATTCCCGAGGGCGCAGCAGGGTTTTTGCCAAATTTCAATAAATCCGCCACAATGTCCTGAGACCCGTAAGTCCCTTATATACATTGAAGTTGATGCAGTTTTCCGAGTTTTCACTTAAGAGAATGCATCATTCTGAGACATATATTTTACTACTAACTTTGAACAAAGTCTTAATCATAGACAAATACCGTACCATTCCGAAATTAAACAACCCTCCGACCTAGCCCGCATTATGACGATTTTGACCAGAAATATGACTATTTTGGCCGGAACTAAGTTCAAAAATGGTTGTTTAATTTCGGAATGGTACGGTAAGCTTTTTTTTATGATTTTTTTCAATTGATAAATCATCACACGATTACGCAATAGAATTTATATTTGTAACACAGGCGTAAATCATTATTAAAATAGCACATTTTTTTTTTAAAGTTTAAAAAAAAAAAAAAAAATTTTAAATTATATTGAAACACATTAAAACAATCTTAGTAAACCATTTAAAAAAAATGGCACAACTTACCGTTGATTGCTTGAACGATATATTTGAATATTTAAGAGATGACATGAAAACTTTACATTCATGCATATTAGTTAACCGTCTTTGGTGTGAGGTTTCCGTGAGATTCTTTTGGGTCGACATTCGAAATTATTATACTATAACTGCTTGTCTTCCAAACGATTCGAAAGAAATTTTATGCAAGATTGGATTTCATTATTTGATAACAACATTAAAAACACCAATTTTTAATTATGCATCATTTTGTAAAATTCTATCAATTGATAAAATTTATTATAAGATTGGGGAACTTCTAATAAATCAAAAATATATTTCATTAAAATCTGATTCATTGGAAATAATAGATCATATTAAATGTATAGCGGTTCAGGAAATAAGTAGAATGTTTATGAATCAGTCATCTTCATTAAAGAGGTTAACCTTTCTTGACCCTAATATTGTAACTGTTATCCCCTTTATCGATTATCCTGGGGCAAATAATTGCTTAAAAAATCTTACAGAATTATATTGTAATTCAAATAATTCGGATGTATTTTTTTATTACCTATCTAAAACATGTCATAAAATATCATTATTAGACATAATAATTAAGGCTTTTATTTCGGAAGAATTAGAAAATTTAATTTTTGTTCAGAAAAATTTAAATTATTTAAATATAACACAAGATGATGATGAAGAACTGGAAGATAAGCATTTGCTTCCTTCATTAATGAAAAAAATTCCGAATAATCTAAATAAATTACATTTACGTAAATCAAATCAAACTTCATTATCATTTATAACTAAATTCACAAACTTACAAGAGCTCGTATTATCATTAGACCTTGAAGATCATCTTGAAGGTTTTGAAAAATTACAATTTGCAATTTTTCCTCAATTGCAAATTTTAAAAATAACTCGTTCACTTCCAGAAATCAGATTATTAGTAAAATTCTTAGAAAATAATGGAGGATATTTAAAAGAATTATTTATAGGTGAAGATAGATTTGGTTATGATTTTACATTAAATTTATCTATAGCTAAATTCTGTACAAATCTAAGGAAACTTACTTGCGGATATAGAAAAAGTGAATTGGAATCGTTTAAAATAGTTTTAAAAAGTTGCAAGTATTTAGAAAGTTTTCAAATTTGGTGTAGTGGTGTATTTTTGAACGAAAAGGAGGTAATAGAAGCGGTTGTGAAACATTCACATGAAAATTTTTCTGAACTGATATTATTTCATTTATTTGAAGAACATCAAAGATTACTTCCAAGAGAATTAGAATCCCTTCTTATAAGTTGGAAAAATCGTGTGCCACTAAATCCGCTTTCCTTAGTAATTATTACTGATAATGATTTGATAAAGTCCTTAGATAAATATAAAGAAAATAGGGAAATTATTAAAAAATACATTAAAGCAGGAGTTATCAAGGAATTTAAAGTTGCAGACATAGAATTTAATTTTGAATTATGATACGTGTACGGTTTATTGAATAATATTTATTTATTTATTTATTTATTTGGTTTATTTGGTTTATTTATTTTCCCGAATAATATATATTTATTTATTTATTTATACTTTGAAGTCGAATTTTATTTACATTCATGCTTTGTTTGCCAATCTACCTTTAACCAAGTGAACTAAAAGAAATTTATATGAAATAGAATTATTATCCAATATGAAATAAACTTAAATTTTCCAATTTTTCAATTATGCATATAAAGTTCAACCCATAATTATAAGAATAAGAAAAAATAAGTTATCATTTATCTTAAGCATTTTCAGAATTATTAGACATTCATCCTGAATCTTATAATATGACACGATGTAAATTAACGCAAAGTTTGAAAGTTCAGAATATTCTAGTACAACATTATGTTACAATTATTACAAAATAAAATTTCTTTATTAATAACTTTATAATTAAATTAAATATCCGTGAAAAATTATATTTCATTATCAATTATTACATAGTTACAAGATCTTCTTTTCAAAAGAGTTATTAATAAAATTCTTACAATTAAAAGATTATTTATACGATAAGCTATGTAAAATGACAATTCGTTGAATTCATCTGTCTCATCTTAATACTTTCCATTGGTATATGTTAATTATAGGATGTAATGCATAACCATACACACGCTCCATACTGAAGTAAGAGTAATAAATTACTTTCAATACATATACATTTATATATGAATAATATGTTTTAGACATATACAGAGTAAATTTTAGCCAAACAGCAAAAAAACAAATTCGCCATACAATAATTAAATTAGCTACTCATCGACACAAAAAGATTATAAGCTCTAAATGGTTGATATTACAAATAACGTATGGAAATAAATTATTTATAGGATCATGTCGTTTTGGATATTTTTGACGCATGACGCATTACATCATTGATTCATTATCACATACCCAATAACTATTATGTATCACGCCTTCCTATAACAGCATGGAATAAATTTTAATACTACACGAATTAAATGTAAGTGCATATTTGCTATTTCGTTGTAACACTCATTATACTTTATACTTTATTACTTTTTAATAAAATTGCAACATTATTTTTTAATTATACTTAAAACAGTATCAACCTTTATATACAGAACATGATAATATTTTATAAGAATCTACAAGTATTTTCAATTAAAAATGTTACCACCGACTCGTTTCACTTTCTTTTCTTTGGATCCAACAAAACAACAGAAGCATCGGACACTGGGTGAGTGGTTTTTGCATGGGTTTGGAGGGTTTGGAGCTTCTGTATCTTCTTCAACTTCATCTTCATCTTTTGGTTCCTTTTGGAATAATGAATTATTATCAGTAGAACGTTTAGAATCACTAGAAGTGGAAGTAGAATTTCCACTATCCTCTTGGGCTTATTTATTTTGCTTAGCTGCATGCATTTTGATACGCCACGAATATCATTATCTAATGTAGAAATATGATGCTTTTGTTTTATAGAATTATCAGATGTAGAATGATTAGATGCAAAATCTGAGGACAATCTACGGAGTGCTGCAAGCAAATGTGAGCACTCGGACATATTCTCTCTTGACGAGATCTACCATACGTATTGTGGTATTGATCATTTCATCTCGTCGTAATTCTATTAGATTATTAGATAGTTTGTCATCGGATCTCTCCATTGAGAGGGGGCATCAATGTGTCGACGACGATTATGGTGGTGGCGACTATGACGATTGTAATGAGGCATTTTTTTTATTTATTTATTTATTTATTTAGAGAGCACTAAAGCTCGTTCAAAGGCTGTTAGCTTTCGTGAATCTTTAACTCCTCCATTATTCAAAATGGATAATCCAACATTTTCATTACAATTATTGTTAACATGGCCTACTTTACAATTGTTTGTTTTGTTATTCTCTCTTGCAACTACCTGTTTGCAAGTCTCCATCACCAAAATATTGATTTCTCTGTGTAGAACTTTGATTAGAGGATGAAGAAATATTATTGATAGTAGAATTTGAACTTCCGGTATAAACGCTATTACTATTGTTGCTAAATGGCAAATTTGAGAATAAATGATTTTTTCAATATTCCATGAATGTTTCCTTTGGATGTGCTCTTAGTGTCATAATTTCCGGTATTTAAATCATCTACTTTATTAGCTACCAATTGGACCACCTTTGTTTCCAGAAACGCACTCATTATAACTATCTTTATCTCGAACTCGTGTTTCTTGTGTAGGACACCAGATAGATGATGTCCAAATTTGAATGTGAATGAGAGTGTATATTGCTCTGCTCATCTCCGAAACGAGAATCACTCGTCATCTAAAATGTTTTCTTCAACAGTATATTCAAATTTGTATCTACGTTTGGTTCAAATAGTTGATCTTGTAGAAAACTGCTTGAAATGGCATATACTGCCATATAGCATAAAAGCGGCATCAACAGCATTCTGACAGTATTTAAAACAACTTTAATTGAATAATCACTTTCATTTTGCGTCCTAGGATTGCCGTCAGAAAAACCTTCATCTGATGCCTTAAGACACTTTTATCATCAGAACAACCTTTCATCTTGAGAACTTTTCATTAGTAATGAATGACAAAAAAAAAAAAAGCTTTGGTTATTCAGATATTTTTATTCTAAGTATAGGAGATAATAATATAAAGTATATTTCATTAATTAACAGGAATCAGAAAAATACAGTACATTAGAGCAAGCTTTGTCATCGGAATAACTTTCATTTAGTACTTTAAGATCGCCTTTGTAATCGAAACCACCTTCATTTAGGCCTCGAGTCTATCAGTACTGCCTTCATTGTAACCACCTCCAAAACTATGTTCATTTGAGTTACTTGGTGCCTTAGAATCGCCTCTGTTCTCAGAGCTACTTTCATATATGCCGCTTTTGTTATCGGGAACGCCTCCATTGGAACCACCTCCACAACCATTTTTATTTGAGTCGCTCTTATCACCGGAACTATCTCCATTAGAACCATTTCCGGAACCACCTCTAGAACCACCTTCCCTAAATAAACCAAATCCTATACCAAGTTGCAAACGGGTTCCTAAATCTAAATTTAAAAATGAAGATTCTCCACTAACACAGGAATGCCAAGTGACGGTTTGCTTACTGACATGTTAAAAGAACTAACACCAGATAAAGTGACATTAGCGGCTGACCTTAGTTCATAATAATTACCAAAACTAATATTATCTATCACATTTAGGCATCTATAATCTTTGCTAGCTCCTGATTTTTTAATAATAAATAATTCAAATTGTGCATTAGTCCTATTGTAACACCAAATCGCCTTGCTGTCCCCATCATTGTCTTATAATTTAATGCTTCAAAGTGTAAACCAGTAAAATCTAAACATTTAATCATCTTGCTGTCCCCGCTTTCTTATAATTTAATAATTCAGTGTCCACCAGTTCCACTTAAGCAACAAATCGCCTTGTTGTCACCTGATTTAATGGTTCAGTGTGGAAATCAATTTTACTTAAGCATGCAATTGCCTTGCTGTTTCTAGTCTTTATCTTATTTAACAATTCATGGTACTTTTCCACCAAATCTATACAAGCAAATGTTTCACCATCCTTTGTAAAAATACTGGTCTTCCTAATTTCGTAAACTTCTTGTTCCATACTAAAGATTTATAAGTCTCAAAATCTTCATTTGCTAATTCCACTCCCTCTAAGAATAAGTCGAAAAAGTCATAAAGAATTTCTTCATCCTGAATTAAAGATGGTGTCAATCACAACTGCTAGATAAGAATTGATTTATATAAATTTACGTAGCCTACCTCGTCGCTATTTTTCTTATCATCGGCATCATCACAATTGTCATCATTGGTATTATCAGCATTAAAAATACCATCAGCATCATCAGCATCATCAGCAGTGAAATATGCAATATTTTCAAGCGAGGGAGTTAGCTCGACTACAAGCTCTTTGGCTTCTACTTCTTTTGCATTAATAACATCTTTTCCACGATAGATGATAACATCACGTATGTAAAATAATATTTATTCACGAAAATTTTTTTCCCCTAATTAATTCACAGAAAAAAAAGCAACAGATGAAATTATATATATAGTATAAGTTGCTTGTACAGAAAAAATCAAGACATAGGAGGTTAGCATGAGAAATTAAAACGAAATTGTGCCCCAAAAATTTTTAAAAATTATTTCCCGTCATTGATTTCATTGATTAACCAAATAATATTTATTGCAGTTTTCAGATTTCTGTGCACGTTGTGATTACTAGGTGACTATAATTACAGGACGATTACCGGACAAATTGTCCGGTTTTTGATCCTGTAATCTATTTTATTAAGTAATTTGCATGGGGCAGAATTCTGAAAACAGCGATGAACGAAATTCTTTCACAATCAGTTACGCTAATTCTGTTATGGTTACAACATATCTCATTTTTTCCTTTCGTGGATTTATTTTATTGTAATGTGACCGTTAACTAACCAATTTTGGAAAATGAGAAATGTTGGCGCAAATTTATCACTTTATTTAATTGATCAATGTCGGAATGTTGCTTTATTATAAGGTCGGTTAAATTACTTCGTATTTATACCGTATTTTATTTTAGAAATACTTTTATCTTCTTCATAACCTTATGATTTTTTAATATATTTAAAATAAATGATTATTCTCAGAATAAAAGAAATGAAGTTTAAGTAATTAATAAATCAAATAGAAACGAACATTAAATTATCTCGATTCATCTGTTTCAAAAAAATGATATTACATTTTTATTTAATTAATTATTTATAAAAAAGGTAGCACAAATTATCTAAAATATGCTCTGAAAGTATAATTTTACTGAATGCTTTCCAAAATTCTAATACATTTCCAATACTGCGTTTCTTAACGGGAAGCAATAGATAAAATTAAAATTATATTGACTTACCATATTGACCTAAATTGACTCGGAATCCACCGATTATCAGAAAAATTACCTATAAAATCAAAAAGTACCGATGTATAAGTAACACGGGTCACTGTAACGACAATTAGTAAAAAGGTAATTTATAAATAGTTGTTATCAAGAAAACGAATAGGAATTAAGGAATTTAACGTCACCCTTATTAGGGACCGCCAATCAGATACTAACCACCCACTTAACATACTTTCCTCCAACCTCCAATAAAGTATGCGTATGAGGATCCTTATCATGGTCTTGCCATGTAAGAGAAGATTTTGCGGCACCCTCATTATAATTTAACCATTAAATTATAATGATTCGGTATCCTGAGATGACGCATATGTTATCAGTAAGGAACAGGTCTCTTACCTCTTTTTACTTCCGTCTGTAAATCATAATAAGAACGAGTTTACTTAGAGCAGGGACCTATACTATACCGCACCAAAGTGTGCAAATACATATATATAAAAAATAGTTAAATAAAATATAAAGAACTTGTTGAAAAAAGGTACGAAGTAGAAATAAAAAAAAAAGAGAAAGATAGGTCACTTCGCTAAAAATGATAATAATGAGGAGGAAGAAAAGAAATGGGAAAGAAGGATGGAGAGGACGGAGTGGCACTTTATATAAATTTTTTAGTTATAATTAGAGTATAAAAATTGTGAGTCATGATTATTATGATTATTGATGTGATCATGCATAAAAATTTTGCTAAGGTCTGCATGAGACGCATTATTTTTACGTTTGACAAATGTTTGGTTTATTACACAAAATCAAATGGACATTTGGCAATACTCAGAATAAGGTAAAAATGGTATCCGAGTACAGCGGTATATTATTGGATAATAATATTATTGGTGTTCATGTAATTTTTATAAATAATCAATTTCTGTTGTAGGATAACTTTTACAGCCTCTAAATATTAGAATTATTGCAAAAAAAAAAGTTACAGGATCACGAACTAATTCATAATAATAATATAGGATATTAATACTTCAGATTCATCGTCTCAAGTTACGGGACTAGCAAGCAGTAGCCAAATTCGCTATATTCGCTATGAAGCTACTATGTATGAACGAATATACTAAACTGATCCAATGGCCTTCTGAATTCAAAACAAAATTTCCTAAATCTTTTTAATTATTATTTCGGTCTGGAATTACTCGGCACAAAAATAAATGAAATTAGTTAAAATAGTATTATAGTAATAATACACACGAAAATAATTTCAAAATTTTTTTTTTGCGCAAATATTTTTACTACCATATTCAATTTCATTAGAAAGCCTTCTAGATTTTAGACAATATTTAGTTTTGGGCAAATTTAATAATTTAATGAATTATGAATACCATCATCTAGAAAAGACGAGCGAGGGCATTTTTTTTATTGAAAATAAATAAGGTGTCTCATTGATTGAACATTTATAAAGTCGACATACAGTATTTTTATATTTATTAGTTTATTAGTTGATCGTTATAATTAAATGAACTTTCTGATGAGTTCCAGGAAAATTTAATTTCGTCAATGATCGCGAGGCTAGAATTAAATTAACCAATTATTATAGGGAGGTCGATCCTCATCTCATTTTAAAGCTTTGTTACAACAATATCTTGGCTTTCTACTGATTGTTTAACGATATTTTGAGAGTTAATAGCTAGTGAACATTTATGTGTTATTAATTAATCATCTTTGATGGAGTGACATTCGAAATTATAATACTTTCTCGTCAAAAGAAAATTTATAATATTCAACCCAACTTTCCAACATTATAATGCCATAGAATGGCATGAATCGGATCTTTAAATAAATAAAGTTTTTTCAAAATTGAAATATAACTTTCACCTTTCATCCTATTTCAAATAGTTGCTTAAAAAATCCCTCGGAAGTACGTGTATCATTAAATATAGTCATAGCTAAATTTGTAAAAAAAAAAGATTTAGATTCTTATAGAATAGATGATAATATATTATTTCATTAATATGCTAAATTATTATTCATAAGGAAATTTTTTTTTCAAGTCGGACAGATCAAGATCTAAGTGCCAAGCCACAAAATTTCCACATGAATATATTTTGACTTTGATGATTTACAAATTATGCTCATTAATTATTAGTGACGTAGTCTACCACGAAACCCTGTAGATTACAAAATATGAAGAAACAAAAAGCTTAGATACTTAATAATTTATAATAGTTACATATTATGACTTAAAAAATGACGTACTTTACTAATAACTTTATAGGTCAAGTGGATCTTGTTATAGATTATGTTTACATTTAATAGCACCAATAGGATAATGTACAACATTACTCACTTTGTTCTCTCCCTAAAGTACTCTCGTATCTCCGGTACTATTCAAGTTATTTCCAGGTTTTTCTTGAATACTTTAAATAACGTAACTTGTATAAAATTTAAACGTCATCCTTCCGTATTTCATTCTTGTAATGATACAGATTAAAATTTTTACGCGACATATCTGCTGCGCCAACTTGCGCCAACCTAATTTTTCGCTTAGCAGTTAGTACGAAGACATATGACTTTATGTTTGTAACACAGTTATAGTTTAAAAATCAGAGATTCCCGTCACCACTTCTATCCTTGTCAGTTGTCACTACTATCCTTGTCATTTTTTTTTTTTTAAAAAAAAAAAAAAAAAAAAAAATGTCTAAACTTTCTTACGATTGCTTAAACGATATTTTTGAATATTTGGAAAATGACAAAGATACTTTACATTCGTGTATATTAGTTAATCGTCTTTGGTGTGAGGTTTCAGTGAGAATTTTTTGGAGAAATGGCTATGATTATAATATTTCAAATCTTAATACCTTAGTTGCTTGCCTTCCAAATGAATCAAAAGAGATTTTAAATGAGAATGGAATTATTATTTCAACACCAACTTCAAAATTCCCGATTTTCAATTATGCATCATTTTGTAAAATTCTACCAATTTATCGAGTTCGTTTCAAGATTAGGAAGCTTCTTAACAATCAACAATCTATTTTATTCACAAATCTTAATAATAACGTAATTATAGTGGAACGGGAAATACACAAAATGCTTATGAATCAGATCTCTTTAAAGAAATTGATTTTTTTTCAATATCGAAAAGTGCCATTTAACCCCCAGACTTTTACCCTTTATATTGGATCAAAAGATTGTTTAAAAAATCTTTCAGAATTGAATTGTAATTCAAGTATTTCTTCTGAATTTTTTTATCAATTATCAAAAATTTGTCATAATATAATATTATTAAAGATAACTATTGAAAAATATATTTCTAATGGATTATCAGATCTAATTCGTGCTCAAAAAAATTTAAAATATTTTAGCATGACATTATATGATGAAGATAAAAATATTTCTTTATTAATAAAAAACCTTCCAAATACCTTAATCAATTTAAATCTTTATGGATATAATTATATTTCTTTATCATTTATTTCTAAATTCATTAATTTACAAGAACTTATTATATCAATTTATAATGGAGATGTTTTGGGATTTGAAGAATTACAAAATATTATTTTCCCAAAATTACAAATTTTAAATTTTGAATGTGAATGTCCAAAATATGAAGAATTTATAAAATTCCTAGAAAATAACGGAAAGAATTTAAAAGAACTTTACGTTGGTGATGATCACATCGAAGATATTAAAGGTTATAATGACATTTCATTAAATTTAGCAATCGTTAAATTATGTCCAAATCTCAGAAAACTTTCTACCGGATTTGGAATGATTTAATTTCGGAGTAATTTAGAATCACAAAAGTTACTTCCAGATAATAATGTAAAATATGGAAATAATTGAAATTTGGGGTTATGATCAAAATTTTAGGGATTAGGATACATAATTGGATTATGTACTTAAAAGTTGTTTTATTGTAAACTTTCTTATTACGATGTATCATGATATAAAGGACCGGTTCTATACTAGAATATCTTTTCCTGGGTGTAAATGAAATTGTATTTCTCTTGCTGGAATTAATAATTTTAATTCCCAACTTCTATAATTTACAAATTATTAAATAAAAAAAAAGTATTCATTAAAAGTTCGCTCTTATACCTGATATTAATATGTCATGATGAGATAATTTGAGATAATTTTGACTCTGAATACCAATAACTGATAATAATATTAACTATCCACGTGAAAATCAAAGTCTTGAAGAACCTGTATACATCTTAAAAAGCTACGATCGAACGCAAAATTACTCGGGTTATTTATATATGGGCAATACTTTATTAGGATACAGTTTCTAAAATTCTGACGGATTATTCTTACACTATTACATATGCGATTGCATTGCTCGAATTTGTATAAGAAAGAATGAAAAAACTTAAATATTTTCCACATGCTAAGATGATTTAATACTTAACTGATCTACTGGATAAGTCAGATCAATTTGCGTGACATTCGATTTCTCATATATATACAGCAACCCCCCCCCCCACAAAAAAATTTTTTTTCGCAATTTGTAAACCAAAATGGAAGCACTGACAACACTTAGAATGGAAATTAATCGTCTTGGTTTCACTCCAGATGAACAAGTCAGGTTACGCAGATACTTCACTAAAAACGTAGAACGAATATATGTTGTCGTATCTTTTCTTTCTGACTACAAAACAGATGATGAGAAGCGGGGTTACTTGAAGTCTTTAATATCCACGCCTGGTATTTCATCATTGCACGCTGTGTCATATTCGCCAATAATATACAGCAACCCCTCACAAAAAAATTTTTTTTCGCAATTTGTAAACCAAAATGGAAGCACTGACAACTCTTAGAACGGAAATTAATCGTCCTGGTTTCACTCCAGATGAACGAGTCAGGTTACGCATATACTTCACTAAAAACGTAGAACAAATAGATGTTGCCGTATCTTTTCTTTCTGACTACAAAACAGATGATGGGAAGCGGGGTTACTTGAAGTCTTTAATATCCACGCCTGGTATATTTCATCATTACACGCTGTGTCATATTCGCCAATAATACCGAATACTTACTTATTCTTGTGCTTTTCTTTCCTGCTTCTTATCGTCAAACCCGCTCAAAAAACGTATTCACGTTATCGTAGAGCAACCCATTGTTGGTAAGTAAATCGTAATAATTTGGTCAACGCGAGTGGACGCGTAGCCTTTTTGATAGTCGTTGTTTCGCAGGACTTATTATGGCTAATTTGTAAATATCTTTCCTTGTAGGTTTTTCAAGAGAGCCCACCGGGCTACAATACATGTACTTGGATAATCTCGAGCAATGGAGGAAGTAAAGTGTTGGTGAAGAAAATATATCCTGAAGTTCTTGAACTCCAAAAAGGTAAGTATTATCAATCGTTATTATTTTCGTAATGTGGCAAGTTTGAGTTATAATTTTAAGCTCTTAACGCGAATATCAAATGATTATGTATGCGACTATTAATATGAGCAATTTGTACTTTAAAACGTTATTTATGCTGTACAATCGGTCTATTTATAGAAGTTCTTTCGAACCCCCAAACTAATTTCGATCAGAAGTATACTGAAAAAACTATATCGTCATCCGAACAAAGCTTTCCATAATTACTTTCATCCTTACGCATTGGCCAATTTATTCATATAAAAAAAATGTTGTAGTTTTTAAGTTATTTTTAAGAATAAAGCCCCATATTAACAATTCTTTTTTCGAATGATTCTTCTGGAACTGAACACACACGTTATATTAATTGTAATGCATAAATCTGGTTTGATTTTCAGGCCAGGGTTAATATTTACTGCGCGCAATTAGTGGACACGCGTGTCCAGAATTTTCGGTTTTGTGTAGTCAAGCATGAATAAAAAGTATTAGTTTACCCGCATCGGGTTTGTTCTTTTAGATTACATCTGCGAAATTAATATGCAATACTGTGTAAATTAATCTACATACATGTGAACTCCCTGAACTCCCTTGATATGCCTGCTATGTAATATTTTTTTCCGGATCTGATTAGCCGATCATCTCGTGATTTGAGGTGCGGAAGGTTTCTAAGCGTTCCACAAACTGATTATAATGCTATTTTATCTAGCCTGTGATAAATTTACGTAGTACATTTTTTTAACTAATCATTCCTCAATAGGATTTGTTAAAAATTTCAAAATTAGCAGTCAGTTTTTGGAAATTCTGGACGCGGTAAAAGTTATATTTTAAATAATTGGATAGAATGTTCGCACATAAAATTTATCCATGATAGGTGATAGGATAAATTTATTTGAACGCGAAAATCATTACAAATTAATGAAAAATTCACCGGGGTGAATTTTTTTTAACTGGGGTGAAATAAGATCACCTTAAAATGTAATAGACTACAATAAACTTTTTTCTCGCGATCTTTCATTCTTTCTTTACACACTTTCTCATTTTTTCTTTCATCATTTATGTCTATTAATTCTTAATTCTTATTAAATTAGTGGCGCTCGGAAAAAAACACGAAACAATACTAATAAGACATGATAATTAACGTGTTAAAATTCCGCCAGCCGTTATAAATGATAGGTCCACTATAAGCACTGAATGACATCCGAGCAGTATGATCATGATTAGTATTTCGAGTAATCTGCCAAAATTCGCCTGAATTAACCAATTATCTATAAATCGTAAAGCGCAAAAATGTTTCCGGATGGACAAGAACCACGGTAAAAATTTTAACCCATTTTTGTTGATTTAATATGAGATAAAAAAATTTGTTATATCCAAGTAAAATACAAATACAGTAAGGAGCATGTAAATATTTTCCTCCGAGATTCTCCAGTAAATCTAAGGACTCACCTGCGAACATCCGTCATCCGAAGAAAAACAACAGTGGCGGGCCGAGGTAATCTTTTAAATATATACACTACCTTTCATGAACAAAAAAAAAATCCGATATTGATCGTAAATGATTGCATAAATTGGAGCGTTATTGTCATTCAGAAATAAATGTGGGAAAGTAGAGATGAAGTAGTAGAGTAACAGAATGAGAGTTTCTTAAACCGATCACAGTTAACAAGTATATGAAATCGGTATAACCGTTACATTAAAGCCTTACTTTTTTACGGGCCAAATATAAGTCCAAGCCGTTGAGATCCTGAATTTAAACTATGGGTAAATTGTACAGTGTGCACACAAGTAATATTAATTTCTTTAAATTTATTAAATATATCATAAATTCATAATTTCAGTGATAAATTAATTACGTATTGTAGATACCAAAATTTCTTACAAAGTATTATGTTAAGAATTATTTTAAAATAAAAATTTGACCGAATTACTAGTATATGTATGTAATATATGTCTAATCTAATTTCGCGTCCGCTAAATGATCGACATCTCGCGGAAAAAATGTCATGTGATACAGTAATTTTAAGGGCGAGATTGCAGTTGCGGTGGATTGTTAAATATTCAAATTGACGAATTAAATCATAATATAATGTGAAATGTACTGTATATGATATAAACGGGTTATTAATCGCTTATAATAAATCTCATCCCCCGATTAATTAATTGGTTATAGGAATAGTTCTGGTCTTTATAAGAAAAATTTGTATTCGTTCAACAATTTGAATCTTGATCATCCAGTTGTATAAGGATGTTTAAAAAATTTAAATTTGAAATAATATATTAGCAATAAATAAAGACTTATCAAGTATCAACCCGTTAAAATACAATGAAATAACAACTTAAATTCATGCTCCAGTATTGCCTTCAGGTATGAAGATTTTTTTTTTTTTTGTGTAAGTACTTGAAATAATGGTATTTTAAATATTAGAATATTTACAAATGATTTAAAAAAAAATATGGTAAGATTTATATACTGTAAGAATGAAATCTTTATATTATATAAGTATTCAAATACGCTTGTTTATTTAAATAAATTTTTTTTCTCATAAATTTATTACAAAAAAAAAAAAAAAAAAAAAAATTGTATAATAATCACGCCTTACGTTACGTTTCTCCTAATGAGATCTACAAAAGTCTTGATTATCAGAATTTTGTGCAATATCTTGTTGAACGGTATTTTGTTGAATATTAAGTTTATTTAATTCTTGCTGTGCAGTATTTTCAGTATTTTGTTGAATATAAAGTTTATTTAATAAATCACTTTTTAATTCCGGGAATACATCGGCATTCCATTCTTTTCGTTCCATCATTGCCTTAACTTCTTTTCGAATTTCATCAAGATTGGCGTAATAGTATCTTCAAAAAAAATAGTTTAAGCATCGACCAACTACATTTTTTTTTAAAAAAAAGTAAGAACAAGAATAAATATTAAAAATTAACATACATTACTTCAGGAAACCATTCTTTCCAACGTCTCTGAAATGGTAACATGTAAAATAACTCAATTTCAGCTAGAATCTGAGAGAAAATAAAATAAAAAAAAATAATTAGTACTATTATAATAATTTTATATTAAATAATGATGATGTTATTAATACCTGTGCCTTCTGTATTAAATAAGAGACTCTATTATTATTTTTTTCAATTGCATTACTGAGTAACCCAATAAGCAAATTCATAAGATATACAACAATCAAGAGTGAGAATAAGACAATCAAAATTACAAGTGGTGGTCTGTTTAAATATGACCAATTAGATAATGCGTCTGAATCGCCTAATAAATTAAAAAGCTTAAAAATACTTGTAAATTATTTTAAAGAAATCAACAAATTAAAATTTGAAAATACCTGTTAAGAATAAATACGTTGCAAAAAGAGATGTTTTAAAATCTATAAACATATTTGTGTTTTCATTTGGTGGTTGAATCAAGAATGGGTTTGAATTAATAGTTCCATTTTCAAATATTTGATTATAAGTAGATGCTATATTCCAAGGATTATTAAGATCATTATTAATTGAACGATTATCTAATGTAAAATTAGATCTTGGTAACAATAAAATATAAAATGCATGTGCAAAACTTATTACAATAATAAATATGAGTACTAAAAAGGAAATAATTTCTTTCGCAACACTAGTCATGATTGCAAAGTACACACCAAAATATTCTAATGCTCTAAAAAATAATAAAAATTTTATATCTAAAAATAAGCATGAAAAAGAAAGTAATGAAATTATCTCATCATTCATTTCACCTAATTGAAGCCAATAAATAGAAGTATAAATTGGAAGCACATATGCAATTACATCTATAATAATTTTAAATAATATTATTAATTTTTACTTATTTATTTCTTAAAATATATAAATTGGTTAAAAAATAATACCAAATATGTTCCAAAAATCGCGGATCCATTTTTTAACATCAAAAATAATTTGACGAATTTCAAAACTCAAATGAATAAATCCAAATACAATTGAAGCAACCAAAAGTTTTTTTCGAATATCATCATCAATATATCGTAGAGGAATTGTTGCAGCAGCAGTAAAGCATCCAAGAAAAGTCATAAATCCAATCCAAATTATTGAATAATAGAACTTTCCATAGGTATTCCATTTAAAATTAATTATTGCTTCTCCACTCCATGTATTATAGATATCCCTGTTCATTGTTTCAATAAATGGACTAGGCTGAGGCTTAATTAATTCTGAAAACCAACTATAATTTTGTGGATAATTAATGAAATTAATATAAGGAACCATAAAAGTAATCATTGGCGTCTTTGTTGTTGTTAAATTTGTTAAATTATTTAACAATATAAAATAAAAAATAGCAAACATACTCATATTGCCATTATTACTAATAAAATGATATTTGTCTAGTATATAAAATATAGCAATATAAATGAAAAAAATAGGTAGAAATAAGATCATCGCAAGAAATAATGATAATTCAACTAAAAGTATTATGGAGTATATAGGTTTACGTTTTTGAAATGAATTATATAAAAAAAATTATATTTAGACCAAAAAAAAGATCGAGTTAAATTAATTAATTGAAGATATTGAAAAGAATAAAGATGTAAATTACTACGTTGATATTCTATACTGTAAAAAGGATTGTCTATAATCATTGTTGTTTCTAATGAATATTTTAAAATATATTCTGGGTAATATTTATTCAATAACGGCATTGTAGAAGTAATAATACTTAAAACCATCTTATTCTTTCCTAAGTCTTCTTCAAACCAATCTATACATTTTTTATAGATCTCTTCTATTAAATCTAATTTATGTTCTTTAATTGCAAATGATAATAATCTAACACCATATTCCAAAAGATTTTTCTTATTATCTTTTACATATGAAATCCATTCATCACATATTTTAAAACTATCCCAGTTTAGTGAAGGTAAATCAGGTCGTAATGCTTGAAGATCTTTAAAATCTTCCGAATCTGCATAAAGTGTACTAATATTAGGAATGGTTAACTCTAAATAATTCCAATAGATTAAAGAAATAGATTTCTCGTTTTCATTAAAATGATAAATTAAAAAACCTATCGTTGTAATTAAAATGATATCATCATCGGATAACTCAATTTCAAGTAATTTAATTTTTCGAAAGGCATTAACGTTAAATTCTGTTGTTTTCGGTTCAGTTAATTCCAATTTGCTACTAACATTTGCTTTTTTAAAAACTTGCAGCATTATTTTATTGTGATCAATAATTTTAATTTTCCAAGCTAACAATAATTTATCAGTTGTTTCAGTTATTATAGTCCGTTCAATTAAATTTCGACCATTATATTGTTTTGATTTTTTCTCTATTTTTGATACTATTTCAAACAATTTTCTTTTTTTATTCATATACAAATTAATAGCTAAAGATTTATCTAATTCTTGATTATGATTTAATTCTCCTTTATATTTACTTGAATTTGATACTCTTTGAAATAATTCACTTATTTTATTTAAATATAAGTGTTCATCGAAATGGTCATTACTGTCTTCAATAATTTGTACATCAGAATCTTGGGATGAAAAATTTATTTTTGGTATATTTTCTTCTAATTTAATCTTCCAAACATTTCCATTTAAAATTCCAAACGCGTATTTATCTGTAGTTTGAATGTTACATGAAAGAATTTTTAAATTTTCGTCCTTTAATCCTAAACGGTTTAAACATTCTTTCCAACAATATCCCATAATATAATTTTGGGTTTCACTACATTGTAGGGGAAGTAATGAGAGTAATAAATCAGAATATTTCATCGACTTATATAATGAAGTATCTGTGAATAATAGAAAAAAGAAAAATAATAATTAATATTTAATATTATTTAACTTGAAAAAAAAAAAAATAATAATACCATTATTAATATCCAAAGAAACAACAGGAATTGCTAGGTCAATAGGATAAATATTAATTTTATCCATAATTCTTAAACAAATAAACTTTTCATTACTAGAAATTCTGACATCATTTTTAAGCTCCCGCTTCTTAAGTCTATAATATGACTATTCAAAGTAAATAATATTAATTATACTGTATTTACTATAATATATACATTATACAAATAGGTTTAACTTATTAATTACCTCTAAATCCTTATTATAAAATATTTTCATACCTTTTTCAGTATCAAAGCCCCATTCATAAATGGAATTATTTGAAAGTAAATAAAGTTTATCATATTTTGATATATTTATCAATTTAAAAGATTCGGGTATCTCGTAATATCTTTTACAATTCCATTTGTGATTTTTTGTTTCCGTAGAATAAATTAGAATACCTTTACACTCTTTATAATGAAATTTATCGTATTCTATCCAATAAACATATAAAATAAATTCATTTTTTGAATTAAAAGCATAATAACGTGGACGAGCAGATTCCATTGAAATCAGAGTTAGTTTAATTGTCTGATCACTATGATTAATATCAATTATATCTAATAAATATAAATTTGATAAATGTTAATTAATGTATTAAATAATTAATTAAACAATTAAATAAATCTTACTTAGATAATACAAGTTATCCTTATCCTTATAAACTGTATACGCAAGTTTCTTATCATCGGAAACACTTATTTCAGTTATTTGGATTTTACTATCACTTATTTCAGTTATTTGGTCTTTACTATCACTTATTTCAGTTATTTGGTCTTTACTATCATTTACTTTGTTTACTTTGACAGGAGCGTCTGACTTAGTAAGTTGTCCCTCCTCTATCTCTTTAGCATTCCAACCGACGATTGAGTGATCCTTAGGATCGTAAGTAACAAGATATGTTCCATTTGGTGATACTTCTATAATAGGTTTATCGTCGTTAATGATATTGTTTTTATTAACAATTTTATCAATTTCGTTCTTGAGGTCGTTAATGATATTTTCGTCAATATCTTTATCGAAATTGTCGTCATCTTCATTAATGTTTATGGAGATTTTGTTAAAATTCATTGGAATTTAGGGAGTATAAATTTTTTGATTTAATTTATTATATTTTATTTTTTTAAAAAAAAGGGACGATTAACGCTTTTATTTTTATAATTAAAAAAAAAAAGTTCTGTTACGTTAGATAGAATATGTACCTTCTGCATTCTGCATACAAATTTATTAATGTTCAATTGTTCACATGTAAGGTTAAAATTTTTCATTATAAAGACTTTATAAGGAAAAAAGATTAGATATATGATATTGGAAAATGACTGATATATGAAATAATTCAAAATTACCCGATAAGTGTTTATTTTTTTAGGGACTATCATTTGATACTTTTATTTTAATAAAAATAAATAGCCTGTATATGCCCGGTTTGCATTTGCAATGTTCATGTTATTGTTCACATGTAAGAAATTTTTTATTATAATTGCCTTACAAAAACAAATATATTTTTGTTATTATGATTTTAATATTTCTAATCTATATATTCTGCTAATTTACTTACAAGGAAAATGCAAGTATGTCCGTGGGAGGTGAGACGAATAGTTGTGGAGTCCGATAGGGGTGTTGAGTAGAGTACGATGATATTTAGTAGCAGGTGTGACGATGAGTACTCAAGTGACAAATAATACCTCAGCCCGCATTATGATAAATTTGGCCAGTTCATCCTATTTATCACTTGAGTACGGCCCACAACTATTCGTAGCATTCCTCCTCGATTACTACATCTCATGTGACAATTTACTAAAGTAATTAATAAGATGATATCAAATTAACCCTATTCCGAAACATATACTATAATGAGCAATGCCTCGAAATTTATCACCTTTATTTATTTTATTTTCAGAATAGAATATTGTCTAACCGAAAGTAAATATCTTTCTAATGATAAAATACAAATATACAGTACTTTACAGTATATAAATTTTCTGAACACATCGTGACTAATAATAAAATTAATTTATCAATAAATTTACACGAAAAAAAAAGATCAGTAAGCGAATGAATGTTACGTTACTTATTCATTATATTACGTCGTTTAAAAAAAGCCGGCGTATAGGAAGTGCTGACGAAGAAGTTATTCTGGACAAGACGATTACGTATTTTTCGGTCGTGGTACATTTGCAAGGAAGCAACTACAGAGCTACATTTTTTCATGAAGTTTGAATAAGCTTCGTTTCTAATGGAACCCAAAAATTTCGGAGATTTTTTGACATCACGGAAGACAACAGCGTAAATTTTTATCGGGCTTTATTAAAGTTAATGTTATCAATTTATTTAATTTTATTTCAGATAGTGCATGTCTCATTAAGTATAACTTAACATTTTTTCTATCTAGAATTATTAATGGGTAGAGATCAAAGTATGTCGACTCGAGTCGATTCTGGAACCGATTCTAAATTCAAAAGATTCTAAGTCTCCTGGGCTTAGAACTACTTTTATTCATAAAAACCGTTCTGAAATTCGGCTTCGAACCTATCGTTTGAAGACCAATCAAAATTTTTCTAATTGATCATCATATACTCCATATTTTTATTTATGAGAGCCGAATTGCCCTGTAAAAAAAGTCGATCCGTTTTTTATATTCCGTCTTTTTTCCGTAAAAGGCTCATATTTCCGGAATTAATAACCTTATATCACGGAATTTATCGAATTATTTACATTTTCCGCGAATGAATCCGTGAAAGGCTCATTTTTACAGAAATAACGGATAAAATTTTTTATAAGGTTGGAGCCGATGTAGAACTATATTTTATTAGGAATCTTCCCGTCTGTAAAGTCAAGGAAGGATTTCTCTTTTAATGTTTTGCTACGTTAAATTTGCAGTTCTAGCGGGTCACAATTTGTGGTCTACTCACGCGTTCATGAATATTCTTTATAAACATCAGGGTCATTGGAAGTTGAGAAGCATAACTTATTCTTATTGTCATCCTTCAGAGTTTCTCCATTAAATCCATTAAAAGGCCAGTAACACAGCTTTCGGCATACAAACTATACATAGATATGTATTATGACCATTTCGGGACATTTCGTAGTGTCTACCACTTGCTAGGTTATATCTCCTTATCAATAGCTTCGGGACTTCATGGTTCATAAAATTTTAATACATGATTGGAACGTCTCACCTAATTGTCCCTGCAATGTGTCTACTGTAGTATAATAAATACCATTTCGTTTACTTATATTAGATATGCAAATTCATTTTTCACGGAGTTCAGGATCAATCATCGAGAATTACCAAAATAAGTTGGGACGAGTTGTGGCAAATCACGTGTATTCAGACCAGTAAAATTTATCAGTCACGTGATAGCGAGTGCTGATTCATAATGTGCCTTAAGTCGCAGCCGTCATATACTAGATTATTTCGACACAAGTTCAAGTGGGACATAGAACAATCACAATGCACAGTAGGTAGCTCACCAGTTATCTACTTTGAGACATTTTTAACTAGTTTTAGTTATTATGGATCATAAAATTTAGCGACCACATACAATCCTTCCCATATAAATTATAAAAACAAAGAATGTTTTTTTTCGGTTAAATTTAGATGTTGGAACTAGTATTCGATCTTCGGATTTAAATCCGGTTTCTCTTGATTCGAAATAAAATTCGAATAAAACGAAGGAAATGGATGCAAATAATCCGGATACAACGAACGAATATAATAAATTCGAAAACCGAATAATTCGAAGGAAAGAAGGAAACCAGACACATTATAAGTTAAAATAAATCCGGGATTTTAAAAAATAAATTTGGTTCGAAATTCTAGTTAAATTAAAGTTCTATGTTGCGTTCTACATGAACCTTCGAATCTTTTGTATCAGAACAATTCAATTTTCTTTTTTTACGCGTAATCACGTTAGAATTAAAATATTCGGATAATTCTATAATATAAACAATTATTATCAGAAGTTCAGAACAAGTAATTCTTCCTTAAAGCGAATTCATGGTGTCATTCAAAAAGATTAATCATTTAAAAGAATGATTGTTCGTTATTTATTGATTTTTTTTGCATCCCTATCCGATTTTCGATTTTTGTAAATTATTTCATCCAGATTCAGAAAGAAATCAGCGAAAAATAACTAGAATTTTTATTTAAAAGTATTATATTTAAATCAGTAGTGTGACATTTTTTGTGTAATGACGTTCATTATAGGTAAGTTACACAAAAAAATACTTATTTAAGACAACAAAATTTCGTTTCATTGTTTCTTTTTATTATCAAAAAATCATGACAACTTCTAATACACGAAATAGTTTTTCAACACCAACTTATGAAGATTATTTTGAATATAATTGGCTTATAAAAGATTTTCAAGATATTTATAAAGAAACAGAAACGGGACATCCGATGATTAGTGAAAGATTTACTTCACCACCATTTTACGATTGGCGTATTGAACTTTATCCACATGGATACGCATATCAATCAAGAAGATATATTTCATTATATATTTTAGGATTTCAATCAGATTTTGAAAAACAAAATCAAATGAAATTAAGAGAAAATATAATAATGAAATTTGATTTATTTAAAAAAGATCATAATAATGATAATTATAATTTGATAAAAACACAAGAAATTGAAATTGATAATTCAAGTTTCAATTTTAAAAAATCTGATCATGATTATATGGGAAATCCATCATTTTGTAGAATTGGAGATATTTTATCATTAGATCATAATAATAATAATAATAATAATAATAGAATTGATTTAATTGTTCGAGCTACTTATAATATTCAAAAAGATAATAACCAATCATTATTAGATTTTAACAAATCATCATCATTCTCAATTCCATCACAAGAAGAATTTTTTAATAATAATAATTTTTGTGATGTTACATTTAAATTTGATTGTAATGCTGAAATTAAAGCTTCAAGAATGTTTTTAGCAATGAAATCCAAATATTTTAAAAGAATGTTTAACGGAGAATGGTTAGAATCAAACTCTCCTATTATTAAAATTAATAATGTATCATATAATTGTTTTCATAAAATTGTTGAATTTCTTTATACAGATAATCTTGATGTAGAATTGGATTTTAATCTTTTAAAAGAAATATATATTGAATCAGAGATGAGGGAAATTGAAGAATTAAAGATGATTGTATCTAAAAGAATAATTAAGATGATCAATGATGATAATTGGGACGAAATATTAATATTAGGATGGCAAACTCAAAATCATGATCTTAAAGATATCGCTTTAGAATATATATATAATAATTGGAAGAAATTAGAATCAGCTGATAAAATGAATGAACTATTAAAATGTGGTGACGCAAGATGGGTTAGAGAAATTATCATGGCTAGTATTTTTGGTATAAATAATGGATCGAGATTATATAATTTTCGTAATTGAATATATTAAATATGACACTGTGTATAACTTTTTAGATATATAGATTTGTTTTTTTGTTAGTAATTTTGTTAAATAAATCCTAAGATCTCTCGTTGTCATACAATCACATAAGTTCATGAGATTTAATATAATTGTTATTTTGGTTAGTTGTCACAATGGTATAATAATAAATTATTGGATAATAGCGGGATTTTATCATGAACGTCCCGTTAATAATATTATTGGATAATTTAATAATCATCCAATAATATATAATTATCGTCAAAAAAAATATATATATATAAATTACTTTATTAAACACGTTCCCTCTCGCTATATAATAAAATCATGAATGTTTCAACATCTATTATTGTTCATCTGGAAACCTCGCACCATTCCCGATTCCAATTATTTGATTTTCCTGAAAATACCTCGTAATCTTCTATATCTCTTATCTTTTTTTCGTGATGATGTCGTTGGCAATAAACTATTTCAAAAGTATATAATCTCTTTATCGCCAAATTCTGAGCCACTTCTATTATAATTCTTGAAAACGTAATTTTCATCTTTTAATCTACTTATAATTGCATCCTCAAAACCCATATTTTTTATTATTAACGGAAAAATAAAACTATCTCTGCAACTACCTCATTTTTCAGTAGATTCTGATTTCCATATTAAAAGCCAATTATTTCATCAGTTTTACGGAAGTTATCGTATACTTTTTATAACTATATCATCTATTAATGCATGAAAATAAAAAACGTTTCGCAACGTTTTTTATTGAGGATAAAATCCATCTCGACATCCCTTAATAATAATTTAAATTCATAAGGTAAATACAATTTTCCTCTAATTGAAAACTTTCTCATACGTTCTATTTTATCAATCCATTTTGACACCAACGAAATTATCATTAATTACTTTTGAATTAAGTTTTCATATCTCGGAGGTAAATAATTCTCGTTAGAAGGTTCGCTATCACTGCTTTAAGCATCAATAATTTTTTATTAGGATGAACATTTTCCAACATTCTTTAGAATATAAACTAAAAAAAATCTATGTGAGGTAAAAGTATTTCCATTAATTTAAATTCATCATCTGTGGATCGTATGTTAAAGTAGATTTTCGCAAGACCTCATCTTAATACGGATTCCAAAGGTAAGACTTTCAATCTCTTTTTGCTCCGGAGTTATTACAGTATTTATTATACTTTCGATTGTATTATCATCAAAATAAAATACTAAAATCATGAGATATTAAATTCGTACAATATTGTTGTAAGTCCATGAAATAAGTTGATTTGATTTTCTTGTAAGTGAATCAATTAATTCCTGTAATTTTGCAACTAATATACTGAAAATATCCGATATAATGACACCATCCTTTAATGAAATAAATAAAATAAATCCATCATAACTAAAATATATAAGAAATTTAATAAAATTTTGATTTTAGAAATTTATTTAAAAATTTTACGTATTACAATAATTTATATTTTATATTTTATTTTTTTACTCACCTTAAAATAATTTAGAAGGTTTCCGGTAAATATTTGAAACTTTCAAACGAATAATCATCACCGTCATTTTTTGTTTTAGAAGATAAATGTCGTCTAAAAATATGACCTAGAATAATTATATGTGAATGAAAATTTTCTATAATTGGGTTTTCAACTTCTATTATCACATCATAACGTCCATCACCATCTAATATTTTTGATGTGAAAATTGTAAAGATGCCGTGAGACGCTTATTTGGACAAATCTATTCTTTATCCTAAACCCCTATATACTCACGTGATTAATATTGTTCGGAATGATTAAACTCACGTGATTATCCATTTTTAGTCAACTAAATGCGCAGTAATTTTTGGCTCCAAACTACTTTACAACAATTCAATTTTGTTCCTTTTATAATTTATTTAAGTGTCTTGTGAATAAAACTTGCCTTTCTTAGTTTTTTATGTGCATTCTTAAAATTGCTTCTTTTAAACCAATATATATTATAATATTTTAATAAACAATTCGTATTGTAAAGGATCTATTATTAGCGAAACATCTATGCACGTGAAGAAAACCTTGTGATCGCTATCCGTGTAATAATCTACATTATCTGTGTTTCTCCTGCAATTCTTATTAATCAGAATCACATGTCTAATCAAGCAAAATATATGTACTATCATGAGACTCCATCAACAAGAGATCGAACTACATTTTACCACCTACCAATAGTGATGAAGGGGACGATGAAAAAATATTTAGGAAGATTTAAAAAACCTTTTTAAAATAAAAAGGAATTATGGTCCTTAGAGTAAAATACAATCAAAGTAATTATTATTGCCCCAATACTTCAATTCCGTTTCTATCATTCAGATTTCTAATGGTTGAGTAAAGTTTCCTGTTAAAGTTCAGTAGCACAGAGAACTACAAGCTATTTATTAATTCCCATAATTTTGGAATATCACGTAATGACACTTTAGACTTAATGATATGAATCGGCTACGATATAATAATGATCAAAATTAGCAATCAACCAGGATTTGATAAAATGATAAAATGACCAGACAAAGAGATTTTCCATAAGTCGCACCAAACCTCATTATAGAGTTACTATTAGATATGTTCGGAAGAACAAAGAGGACTTTATTAGGCAACCGAAAAATTCTGACAGCAGGTAGAAGAATATCAATCGAGGAATAAACGCAAATTTAGCAGCAATAATTTTAAATTTGAAAGTTTTGAGGAAAATTTAATATTATAGGACTTTCAAATTTAAATATTATAGGATAATAAATAGCACTATAGAAAAACTGAAAATGAGATTTCACACTTAGAAATTATTTAGAAAGAATTCTTTTTTGCCTTATGCAGATCACGCGATTGACCTAGTGACTTAATTAAATGCAGTGGCCCCATAATCGGCTCGGTTGAATTTTCTAATTGTAGCTTTCGAATCATAATGAGATGATGATGTCATTAAAAAATAATATATTTAAGCGACTATTGTTTTTAAAAAATTAATTAATTTTAATCCGTTCGGGTTATAAATGGTTATAAATATATGAGGGACCTCAAAATATGATATAAAACCAATAATACATATCATTTAAACCACGTGGTATCACTTATGTGAAAAAAGGAACATGATCTTTTTTGTTTATATAATATAACGTAAGCGCAAATGCACAATACTATACGACAATACTATTTAAAATCACGCTAAACCATATACGATTTGGTGAAACAATCAATCTTCTTTTTTAATATTTATTAAAATTATTCAGTAACTTCGATAGCAACTATTGCTTTAGTATATCCCCAATCATCATTACTTATTTCTCTAACATTCTTATTAATGGTATCTAATTCAAGTAATTGACTTCCATTTATAACATAAATGTTATGACCAATAACAGTAGCTGACCTTACACTTGACCAAGATCTTTTAGCATCGTCAGAATTATCGTCAAAGAAAGGAGTACTGTTACCGTTTTGAATATTAACTTCCCATAAACCATAACAAAAAGCGATTAATTTATCATCAACTGCAACCAAAGCTTTGCAAGTTGACCAATTATCTGAACCACCTCCCAATTTTTTAGGTTCTTCATTACCAGTACTATCAATACACCATAAATTATTTGCTGAAGTGGTAACAAAGATGTTTTGACCTACTACTGCTGCTGCATTAACTCTTGTCCAAACATCCATAAATCCTCCTAAAAAATCTATACAATGACCCGTATTTGGATCATCAACCAACCAAAGTTTATGACAAAATGCAAATAATTTATGTCCCCCTTCATCATTCGGTACTGATACTAAAGCATTACAAGTTCCCCACCCATCCCAACTAATTTTTTTTGCTTTTCTTTCATTTAAAGAAATTTCCCAAAGATTATTAAACGATGTTGTGATATAAACTTTTTGAGTTGAAGGGATTAATGTTGCAGCTGTCGTTGCAGTCCAATCATCAGAATTATATTCTTCATATTCCCCATCCTTTGGACTAACAAGATAAACTTTTCGGGAAATCGTTAAAAGTTTTATCATAATGAAGAGTTAAATTTTAATAAAAATTTATTTTTTTTCTCACACATAAAACACATAAAGATAATAATCAAAAAGAAGCGCTATTTAAATTTAATTTAAGTTACTTTGTTATCTTACGTTGAACAAAAAAATCTGTGAAACAAGGAGTAAAAGGTGCCATTACATGGGTCCTTGCATCATTGTTTCTTTCTGTAACAAGTTTTGCATTCATATGGTAATTGGCGCTAATCGCTTTTATCTCACCAAAGTCGTTAAAACGTATGATAATCAAACAAATTTAAAATTAACATACAATACGTTTTATGTTTATCATTTCTTTATCTTGCATCTGTTTAAAAAATTATTGTTTTATTAAAAGCTTTTTTTTTATTATCATACCAACATTTTTTTTTTAAAAAAAAACATTCATTAGCTTCCTTAAAAATCCTTTTAATAACGAATGTGTCTTATATTGACTCTGATAATAAAAGAAATATGGTAATCGTCATCAACTATACGTGTGACGGAATCATATGAATAAGGTTAATTTAGGGTTAGATCAGGTTTATCACATCATTTAACGAAAGAACGGATATTGGAAAGCATTTCCGCATTGTTGGAAATACCGTACGGACAATACAAAGAAGTATTTCAGTATTTGTTTCTAAATTTAGCTACTTTAAAATTTGGCAGGGGAGGTTCCATTGGGGGATTAATTTTAGTATTTATAGCTTAGGATTATTTATTATAGTTAGTCGTTATGTCCAAAGCATGTACTGAACTCAACTTTGTCATAATAAAAATAATCCTTTAAACCTGTCTGGTATACCATCACACCTAAATATAATTAAAAAAAAAAATAATAATGCAAATACTTTAACCTTACAGGTTATTTTACATTTTAATGTTTATATTGCTTAATGGAATGTCACCAGTATTATAATAGAAAGGGCTGTTGAATTTTCCATGCTGAATTAAAAGAAAAGTATACTGTATAAAATATATATAAATCTATAGATAAACAATTTATCGGTTATAAACTAGTGTAATAAAAAGTATATATATAGTAATACCCCCATAAGTGTGCATATATATATACTTAGAAGGGATGTGCAATAAAAAAATAAACAATTGAAAATCTTTTAGAACTTTTAAATCCAAAGTTTTCTTTTATTTATTTAAATTTCAAATACTTTCTAATACATCTTAAATCAAAAGAAACATAAAATACAATTTTTAATGGCTAATAAATACAAATTTATTTAAATTAAATAAATTCCGTCTGTCATTTATTTTTAAAAAAAATTTAATAGTAATTGCTGGTAATTATTTTAAAGACTCACCAGGAACTTAGATTAGGTTATAACAGTAACTTCATAATCTAATATTATAATCTAGTGTTAACTTTATAAGTTACTGGTAGCATTATAATCTATTTTTTGGGTAATTTTACAAGGCTTTAGATATTATTTTAATTAATTTCTACTACATTATAATATGTAATAATTAGAGTTGGATAATCAAATTTTAGAGCTGAATTTCAGTAATAATTTGAAATTTTGATATCAGTTTAGGATTTTCAGCAAACAGTTTGAAATTTTGGTAAGTTTTAAATTTGAAATTCAACAATTATTATATTCCAAAAACTGAAATACTTTTGCTATATAGTTAGTTGATAGGTTTGGGATTTTGGCATCCAATTTTAAATTTCAACAATAGTCTAAAATTTCAGTAATGAAGAATTTTGGCATTTACTATAGCTGAAATATTTTAGCATTTAACTCTAGTAATGATATAATTTAATAATGATTTCATAACCTAATGGTAATAGTAATATTTAATCTAATGGTAATTTTATAATCAGTTTCTTCTTTATTTCTAGCCTTTTTATTTTTAAAAACTACTATTTATGTATTAGCTTGCTTTTGCATTTTTATTACTTATTTGTAGGATATTTATTAACTTAGCTTTGTACCTTTTTATTATTAAGAAATTGTTTATATATTAGCGCCCTTTACTTTATTTTACTTTTTATTGCAAAAAAAATCACATCAGATAATGCAGTAATTTGTAATGTATTTTTAATTAATTTTGGCCAGCATTAGCAATACTCTATAACTTTTTTTATTAATAAAAAGTTATTTATTTGTTTATATATTTTTATACTTTTAGATATCTTTAGTTATTTATTAAAATACCAAGGATGATTTTCTTTTACACCTATTTAGTGATCTTTCAAAGTATTAAGGTAGTGTAAAAAAAAAAGTGACAGTAAATTTGTAATAAAATTTTGATTAAATTTAACTAGTATTATAACATAATTCTAGTAAATCCAGAAATATATATATAATAAAGGTTAAATTAAAGTTATTTGCCTAAACTTCTTTAAAATCTTACAATTAATTTTTCTAAAATTTTATTATAGTTTTATTATAATTCTGACAAGATTTTGGCAGTTTTAGCATTTATAATAAGTTTTATCAAGTTTCATTTTCTCTAAAGTTTTGCTAACTTTTTAATAAACCTTTTATATAATTTTGGTAAAATTTAACTATTTTGGTATTTTACAATCTTTTTAGCAATCTCAGATTAAAAAATAAAAAATTTTTTTACTATAAATTATATGTATTTTTTAGGATCAGAATTATAATAATATTAGTCAATTACTATATATAATGGAATATAAAATTCTAACTGGCATTATCAAAAATTATCTAAAAAAAAAAAAATTTTTATAATTTTTTAGTTCAAAATACACAAACTTAAACTTAATTTTTTTATATATATTTTTAAAAACTAGTGTAAAACTGGCATAGGATTGATAGAATTTATTAATTTGCTAATTTTAAATCACTTTTTAGATGGCAAATTATTATATTCTAAATTCAGCTGAAATTATAGGCCAAAATAATCATAATTTACTGCAGGTGTCTTAAATTTTAAGTACTTTTCTATCACTTTTTTGGCACTTTTGAGTAATTTTTGAAGAGTTATATTTGCTTTATTTAATTGTCAGAATAAAACATAAAATACTGAATTTGTAATTTATTTACTTACCAAATATTTTACAATTCATTTACCATCTTCTAATTGCTAAGTAATATATATATAAAGTGCTGATATTAAAGTTTAGAACTGGTTTTATTTTCAAAACCTAAATTTAAAAAAATGCAACTGGTTTAATCCATTTTAAATCAATTTTGCAAAACCTGATTAAAACTAAATAACTGATTTATATATATTTGATAATTCTGGCCAAAATTAAATGTAATTGGCATAAATCTGGCCAAGTTATAATTTTAGTCAAAATATAATCCTTGTATAACACAATACAAAATTTTGTAAGATATAATTATCTATAATAAAATTTTGTGTAATATGATTTACTCAGTAGCTAAACTATTTAGCCATGATCATGTAATTTAAATTTTATAATTCAGGTCAGCAATTCAGCACTATAAAGTTTTAATATCAAATTAAGTTAAAAATCCAATTGCATCTATTTTAAATGTAAATCAGTTTTTAGAATATAAATTCAGATCAAATTAAATTATCAAAAAATCAGTTAAAACTAAATTTTAAACTGGTTGGTACAATTAAATTGATATTATGCTATTTTTAATTGATAATTAATTTATTTACTAATTAATAATTAATTATTTTAATTTACTGATATTTAAATATATTTTAATTCAGAAATAACTGATTTTTTAAAAAATTCTAGCAAAAAATTTAACCAGTATTTATTAACTTTATACAATTTTTCAATTATTTATGATGTAAGAATTTTTTTTCATTTTTTTTCAGTTGATTAAATTATCACATATTTTTATATTTATATAAATCTTAATATTTTTCTTTCAATTTTTTAAATTAATTATTGTTTAAATTTTTCTTCACAATATTTTTTTTATATAAATTTTATGAATTTAGAATTTAAATTAATTATAGTGTTTAAAAAATCAAAAAATACGAAAATTTTTTTTTTAAAAAAAATAAACATTTAATGCTTCTGAAGGATGAAGTAGAAAATAAGCATTTAATATTCCTGAAAAATAGAATGAAAGCTAACAAAATATATTTACACAAATGTTATCAGGTAGTTAGTCATCAAAAATTCTTATATTTGCATTTAATAAATTTAATATTATAATTAACTTTTACTAAATATTAAAAGTAAAATCTTCAGAAATTTCTAAAAATCTGTATATAAATTGTGAAAAATACCCTTCTGGTTCTTTTGTATTTGTTATTTCATTTGAAATAGATTGTAAAAGATTTTTAATTAAATTTGTTTCTATTACTCTAACAAATTGTAAAAGTTTTTTAACAAATTGTAAAAGTTCTTTAGTTAAGGCTGTGTATACTAAAACTTCTGCTTTAGCTATAAATCATGAAGATAGTGCTTTAAAAAAAATCTGATCTGATTAGATTAAATTAAATATATTTAATCTGCAATTCAGATTCAAATCAAAAAAGTTTGATCTGAATAGATCAGATTAGATTCAGATAAAACTTACTTAAAATCTGAATCTAATTGGATTGAATCTGGCAAATTTGATTCAGATTTCAGATTTGAATTCTGCTAATAATTTTAGTTGAATTTATAATATCAGCTAAAATTAATTTATAATTTTAGATAAATCTGTAATTCCAGCTGAAAATCATAATTCCAACCAAAACAAATGTGTTGATCATTTCCTTTTTTAATAATAATATTTTAGTAAAATCAATTTTTGTAAAAATGAATTTGGCATTTTATGTGATTTCAATTTTTTTTTAAAAAAAATTCAATAATTCTTGCCAAGGTTAAGTGTATAATTTCGACTACTGAATTGCATTTTAATTATTTTGGCTGAAATTTCAGAATTTCAGATTTGGCAAATTAATTTAACAACAAATAATATATATTCTTAAGTAATAATAACAGATGCAGATCTATTAGCTGTACATGTTACAATTAGATTTACATTTTCTAGTATTACATATTCAATGTATTGCATATTTCATATTAGCCCAAAATTTAATCAAAAAAGTTCAAAAATTATTTGAAAACAAATTTTATAAGTTTTTAATACTATATGTAATACATTAAATAAGCTTTTTTTTGAATCAAAATGAAAAATTTTAATTACTCAATATCCTGAAATAAGGCAATATTTGACAAATACTCTTTATAATATTAAAGAAATATTTGCATATTTCTGGATATGTCAACAATTTACTGTAGAACTTCATGCATCTTTTCCTATTGAAAGTATTAATATTTGAATTAAAAGCTATATTTTTAATTCCAATATTTCTTTATGTAAGCTTAGTAATGTAATAGATAAAAACAAATGTTAGAAAACAAAAAAATATCAGCCTATATTATAAAAAGCTGCAATTCCTTATGTATTTATTCAAGTTTCTACTGCTGCATTTATGTTTACTTCTATTAACCAAAAACTTGAAGAATATTTACTACCTGCTATATTAAAACTTCAAAGAGATGAAATTCACCAATATGTTTTTTATAATACTATACAAGTTAGTCAAGAAGTAATTGATAAGTTTGGTAAAGTATGTATATTATATATTTATTATATTTATAGTACTTTATTTAATTTAACATTGCATATATTTGCAGTATGATTCTTTACCTAATCAATATTTAGAAGATATATCTGATGCTTACCAAATAACTGCAGCATGTATGATTTCTGACATTAATAAAGATCAAATTTCATCCATGTGAGTTGTAAATATTGAAAACAAACTTATCGAAAAACATTTTGTTATTTTATTAACAAATGGATCACATTATTGCTCATGTTTATCTCTTATCAATTAAGGAATTGTTTGTAGGCATTATTTTCAAATAATGCTTTGTATCCCTACAGCCAAATTTCATTTAAGACTTATTCCTTCACAATGGTATTATAGTTGCTAGCAAATTTGAAGCTGAAACTACACATATTATTCCTCAACATACTATTCCTTTTCTGATTGCAATTTATGAAACATCACAAGATTTTATTACTCAGCATGAACAACTTTCAGACATTCAATTATATGGTAAAATTGCTGGCTTAACACATAAAGTCACTATGAAAGCTGTTAAAAAGAGAGATATACACATAGTACATCTTGGAGAATTACTTGAAAAATATTGATGAAGAAGATGAGCAAGATAAACAAAATGGAAACATAAATAATATTGAATTAGATGTAGAAGATGACGAATCTATACCAAATGACTATATTGTTGAAACAGAGTTGTTAGAATGATTAAAAACAAATAAAAATATAAGAATCATTTTATCTTCAATATCAGTTCACCAATGTAAAAAGCCAATATGTTTTGGAGTTTTAAGTGTGAAACCAAATATATAACAGATTCGAAAGTATGTTATACTATAAATTGGAAGGAAGGACACATAAAATGGAATATTAGCACAAAATCCTTTACGTCGGTTGTTAATTTGTTTTTACAAGTATGTAATTCATATTTGCATTAAAAGAAATATAATGATTTTATTTTTATATACAAATTAATTTTATATTATTTTATTAGAAAATCAATCAGAATCGATCAACTAAACTTTCTGGTCCCCGTTTATTTAATAAAGAAAATTCTCCTTTTATTCTTAATAATCCCAATAAACAAACTAAGCCTAAAGGACGTCCAAAAGGTACAAAAAGACTTAAGGCAAGTCATGAAAAAGAAAAGTGTACTCAATATAAATGTGGGAATTGTGGTGATTTGGGTCATAACAAGCGAAATTGTAATATTTTAAGATAGATATCAATTGTTAACACAGTATTAGAATTTAGCAATAAAGTTTATTAAAGTTTCGTTGTTATTGTAATTTCAAAGTGTTTCTACATCTTTATAAACATTACCACAACCCTTCTAAATAAAAAGAAAAAGGCTATTACATACACCATTACTCATATAACACTTACTAACACTTCGCCAAAGTAAAAAAGAAGAATCTTCATGATGTTAAAGCTTAGCTTCCACAACGAAAAAATTCCAAAAAAAAAGAAAAAATTAAGTTAATATAGTTTCTAAAAGCTATTATTACATACACAATTACCAAATAATACCTACCAAGAGCTTCTACAACGAAAAAACCCTAGAAAAAGAAAATTTTCCGTTAATATCATTTCTAAGGACTATTACATACACCATTACCTATATAACACTTACAAATTGCCAATAAAATGAGCGTAAAAGATACCAATACTTTGAAAGAAGGAAGAAGAATCTTCAGAAACGAAATGGTTCTAAAGCTATGCTTCCACAGCGAAAAAATCCTAAAAAAAAGAAAAAATCTACTTAATATAGTTTGTAAAGGCTATTACATATACCATTACCCATAAAACACCCACCAATACTTTGCCAAAGTGAAAAGGAAGAAGAACCTTATTTAAAAACAAAAATGGCGTTAAATTTTGACTTTCATAACGAAAAAAACCTAAAAAAAAAAGAAAAAAATCTCATTAATAGTTTTCAAAGGTTATTAAGTACACAACTATCCATATAACACTTACCAACACTTTGCCAAAGTGAAAAGAAAGAAGAGACTCCTTCAGAAACGAAATTGGCATTAAGTTCGGCTTTCACAACAAAAAAAACCTAAAAGAAGGGGGAAACCGCGTTAATATGATTTTCAAAGGTCATTGCATGCACAATTACTCATATAACACTTACCGACACTTTTCCAAAGTAAAAAGAACGAAAAGGCCTCCTTCCAAACGAAATTAATGTCAAAAGTTTAGCAGGCTAGCGGCTTTTACAACGAAAAGAACCTAAAAAAAGGGGGAAAAAAAGCTATTAATAAAAGTTTCAAGTACATAAAAAAAAAAGAGAGAGAAAGGAAGCTAACCGTGGGATAGAAACATGAACAAATGGTGTCTTTAATAGCTTCGGTAATTAGGAAAGTGAAAGAAAGAGGTAAAGTTTATTTTTATTAAAGAAAAAAACAAAACGGATCAAAAAAAAAAAAAATTTTTTAATTCGTATTACATTTTACCGCGCGGGTAAAATCAGTTAAAAAATTTTTGACCAATAAAATTCAGAGACGCATGCCCCTGCGACATATCGCAGGTGCGATAATAAACGTCAAGATCAGATAATCTTGAAAAATTTGATTTTCAAACTCCAATTAAAGTTCTTTCAGTTTGAGTTTGTTTCTAATAAGGAAAAGTATTAATTCTGCTGTATACGTATGAGTATTGCTTTTAAAAAAATGTAGAAGTGTATTAATGTGGTATTAATTATTGGAGATTTTGCTTGTGAACTTATATAATTTTCGTTTGATGTAAATTTTTATTTTACTTCTATTCCGTGAGTCATAACAACCTTTTGGCTTAGTCAAGTGAAATTTCGCGAAAATTGGGATGACAATAAAATGTAAAAAAATTTTGCAAAAATTAAGTGATAGGGTTGTTTAGATTTTTGTTCTTTAGCTGGTGGGTGACTACAATCTCCCCTTAGTGTAAGAAGCGTTTTTAAGCTACCCACTCTTAAGTTAACCGCTTTCAGTCCTTTTGTGAACCTACCAAAGTATATATATATATTGTTGTTAATAAAAATTCTTCCAACATACGTTTACTCTAGATTTATAGTAAATTTTACATTGACTAGAATGAGTTTTTTTTCAAAAAATTCATCTGTATATTTATTCTTACCGTATATTTTATATCCAATAAGATAATTTTAGGTCAAAATAAAAGATCGACACCACACAAATCCAGAAATACAAAATTTTGCCGGTTCAAAATCTCGACAGGTTAGAATCCCAACTAATACATTAAAAATTTTAGCATTGTCAATAACCTTACATTATAAGTAAATTTGCAAAAGTCTAGTTATTTTATCTAGTTCTTTCATATATTACAACAATTAATAAATGCAATAAATGATAAATATTTTACGCAATTTACTTATTTTTAATGTAATAATTTTTGCCCGAATAATACATATGAATAATCTATTAAATAATCTATTAAATTATCTTGCAAAGATAGATTTTTAATAATTAAAATAAAATATCAATAGTATCTAACCTGTCGAGATTTTGACTCACGGATCCCATTTTATTCATTATACTTTTTAATTTTTTAAGTTTTATAATTTTTTTTTTATAAAAATTTTGTAAGATAGTAATATAATAATAAAATATTGAAAATCAAAAAAGAGTTTATAAAAAAAAATGAAATATATATAATAAAACTATATAATTTTAAAATAAATTAATTTACTATAAATTCATTGATTAAGATCTATTATAAAATTTAAATTATATTATATTATAAATATAATTTCATAAAACAAATGCCTTACTTAATTTGACAATCCAAACATTCAGAATCTAATAATAAATGAAGATAAATATTATTAGCTCATATGACCACATATTACATGACTATTTTTTCTCCACTTTTTCTTTTAAATTTTAATTTACGCTCGTTCAATAGTCATGGTATGAGTATGTATAAAGAAACAAATTTGTTATGACAGTTATGTGGTTACCGTCAATAAAAATAAACTAATTTTGATTTTTTCATTATACTCTTTCCAAATTTGATTTCATACTATCGTAATCACAAAAATGGAGAATAACTTAATTAATTTTTTTATAGAAATGATATACAGCATTAGAAATATTTATAAATAGAGAAAAAATCTTGTCTACTCTCCTGAAACAATAAAATTGAATACAATGTTTATACGTAAATTATGTATAATATTGATTTTATCAGCCATAGTCAAAATTTCTATCTCTTATCGTCAATATCCACAACATAAAGTTAATTACAAATATCGTGGGTATCTTAAAGACATGATTGATTCGTGCGTTAATTTTATTGACTGGCAACAAAATGTAGCATATAGACAATGCTATAATTATACGGAATCAAGAATGCTTAGTGGAGAAGAGACATCTCCATTTTGGTCAGTAGGATACCAACTCTGTACTAAAGTAAAAAATTTTCCTCATGACCGTGTATTATGTACGGATTCTTTTTTTTGGTGGGATGACTTTGTAGGAAAAAAGTTTTGTGACGATATGCATTTACATATAAAAGGTTTTGATTACAAACTAAGTTGGACCCGCAACAATATCAATGAAAACGAAAATTGTGTTTATCTAAATTGATTTAAAGTTTGCTTATTATAATTTAATAATTGTTATTCTTAATTTATATTTTATCTCATTTTATCATACTTTGTTGCAAAATTTTTTTTATTTAAGTTTATCGCTGAAATTCGTATTTTGTTACAGTACGAGAGTTTTAATTTTAAATTTATCAAGTAGTTTAATGTTTAACCCTGCATTTTATAATTTCTGAGTCCGCTGTGTATTTTATTGTGCAATGCAGTTAGATGAACTTGATTATGTAATAAAGTCTTGTTTTATATTGAAATGGTTTCATTAGAACAAAAATATTTTGAAAGAATTTTCTTTTACGTGATGTAAAGAAAACAAAGCCAAATAGTTATTAAAGTCTTTAATGCCCAATAAAAAGTTTTCGCATCAATTTGTACCAAATTCATATCCATAAGTTATGCACTATATAGTGAGCCCGTTTGGCACAAAATTTGTACTGTATTTATTTTAAACTTATCCAAGTTGTAGTCCAGCTTCAAGCTATTTTTGTACATAGATTTATACCATTTTTATATCTAACCTTGTGCCGTATATGAGCCACTTTTTTATATGTAATTATTAATACTGTATTGTAAAATTAATGTCACGTTTTCGTAATTGTAATATTAATTTATTAACATGTATAAATAATATATAAAATACACATTATAAATATATTATACATTATAAATATATATCAGTTATCTAGTGTTAATTTTTTTTTATTATTTTTTATATTATTTTAAAGTTGCGCTAACTGTATTACTTAACTTTTTTTCTTTCCTCTTGTTATAATTGGATAGCCACGGATTTTTAAGTGATCAACGTACTAAATTTCCGTTGACATAGCGCCCCTGGTGACACAACTATAACAAGGTGGGAACCCGATTTGAACACATGTTTCTGATGTAATAAATCTTTAGATGCGTCTGCAGGTAAAGAATTGTAGTTATTATTTTATTTCAGTAATAGACTCACTTCCTTAATAGATGTATCCACTATATTACCTCATTTCTTTCCTCTCTACTTTCTTTCTGCTATTCCCCCATATATATTTTTTAGTAGTAGTTCAACGAAATATGCTTCCAATCTTACCAATGACAGAAGCTTTCTCTCTTCTCTCTTTCCTTGCAATCAAGTTTCTTCTTTTCTTTTACTTTTTTCGTGCAGCTACTTTGTTTCTCCTTCACTATTCTTCATTCTTTTTTTCATCATTTAGACGTCAATAATATTAAAGAAAAACGAAAAAAAATCCCAAAATCTTGTGAAATGAAATCAGAAGAGGCTATCTAAGAAAAAAATACGAAGTGTGAGTACCTGTTCCGTTGTTAAATTGTACAAATTAAAAGGAAAAAATACTTATCAAGAATCAACATGCCTAAGGAGGTCCAGGGGCCCGAAGAACTGGCTGCCTAAAAAGAAATATCCAACTTTTTCATGCGTCTAGACCCGTCTAAATAAAGCAAACCAAAATGTTTAAAGTAAGAATTCCATGTACTAAACCAAATAATCCGTCTAAGAAGATAAACAAGAAGTGTAATAAATGTTTGATCAAAATAATAATTTAGAAAAAAAATAGAAAATTCACAACGAACTAAAGTAGAAGATATGAAATAATCTGAAATTTTACACAAACTTATTTTCAACCAAAATCTCACGTGTCCAGTGTCCGATTTGATATAGATTAATTTGGTCTTGATCTTTGAACGATAGTACTCGTCTTTAGTCTAACAGGTTGGTTTTGCGGCCTAAATCAATTCTTACGATACTCAATAATATTCCTAAGCTTAGAAAAGTTACCTCATAGTCAATATCCTAAAAAAAGAAATAAAAAGTAGCAAAATATTCCATAAAAAGGTCATTTAAAAAACCTTTTCCACCAAATCTCATCTCATGCGTCCAAAGATCTGAAAAGTTTCCTAAAAAAATGAAAAAAAAATATTTTGTTTTATTTACCGAAATTTATGTTCAAAGTGATCCTTAAGTCGTCTAAAATGAATTATTATTTCATTAAAAGAATTAAATTTGAAAAAATATAGTCCGATTTCCTCTTCCATGCGTTCAGGCCCATCTAAAAAAATTTAAAAAAAAAGATAAATTCAAAATGTTAACATATGGTTCGTTAGAATAAATAAACTAATAGAGGAAAAAAAAAACCTACTGAGAATGAAATCCCACGTGTCAAAATAGACCCGAAAAACCATCTAAAAAAGAAAAAATAGTAATATTTCGTTAAAATAAATTTAAGAAAAATTTTTTTGAAAACTTGCGAAATATCATGGAGCCACCTAAAAAGAAAAAAAAAAACTTTATAATGTTTCAAATGTTTCATTAGGCCAAGTAAATAAATTTATTCGTTTCTCATGACCGGGCGGGTCATGTAAATG